CCGTTCTGCGGTCCGGTGATGTTTCCCATAGCCATTTCGGTTTGACGGACACGTGTAAGCCAGCACATGCCCTGTTCGCATAATGTTTTAAGTATTTCAGGGCGGATTTCCTTGATTCCAGCAGCCTTTTTACATTTCAAGCGTTTCATAAGCTGTGTGATTTTATTTACAGGGATGTTAATATCCATTCAGTGCTGCTCTTCAGATGAATTTTTCTGCGGTTGCTCAGAGATAAGGAGTTTTTCAAAGTATTGCATTCATTGCTGAAAAATGCCCCCATCATCGGTAAGAAGATTCTTGACTTGTCATTTACGATTCTTAGACCACCGTTTTTTTACTTCGGAGGCTGCGAATAGTTTGCCAGGATACATTGTTTGCCCTCTGAAAATTTGACTCCAAGACCTTGCCGAATTTCTCCCAGCAATCAGCTTTGGCTTTCATCACTACTTTCGCAGTCGCTTCGCTGGCTTCTACGTATTGCGTGAGAGTTAAAGGCTCTTTGTTTGCAAGCCGTTTCTTGAATTCTGCCTTCTTTTTCGTGACGACCAGTTTCTACCTCTCTTGTCCACCAGGGAGTTCATTGATTCTGTCAGCAGCCACTTTTGGTTCTTCCAGAAGACCAACACTGGTCCGCGTGCGCGTCGTGATGTTGACACCTGAGTAGAATAGTTTCCACTCCCAATGGTTCAGAATTCCAGAGCCTTGGCGCTTCGTTGACGAGAGTCCAGCTATGTCGAGTTGGTACCTTGTGGCTTCATTACCTACCTCCTACTCTTTCTCCCTGAGTGAGCATATGTTCCATTTACCCACCGGAGTGTCGTTTCCGTTGAGCCTTCTCTGACATGCTATAATTGCATCGGCTGTCTGCCTCCTCCCTTCAGAACGGGTAGCGAATCCGTTGCTGACTGTTATCTTCGTCGTCGTTTCGTCGATCTTCGTTAGTGGTTGTTGTGCTGCTACGCCCCCCCCCCTTCCAAAATACAATGAGTAGGTTCTAATCGCCTACTTTTCGCGGCTTGCTTTAGTCCTTTTACATGCTGCGCTGTCGTTGGTAGCCCGGGCGACTACCTAGTCGGTATATTATTTGATGACGGAAATACCGTAATGGGCATGTGGCTATATTTACTTCGACCTCACCACGATCTCTTGCCCTCTTGCTTTCTCATCCGATCTTGGCACCGGCAACGGTGGGATTGAACACTAGTTTAAATATGGCGGATACAGATTCACATGCTATCGATATACCCGTAGTGGTAATCCGTAATTTTAGATCAAACATGTCTCTCTTATTTGGTTTTGCAAAATGTCTCTACGCTTCTTTTGATGCTCCCTGAGTAAAAATGATATGGTGAAAACGTAATGATAATTCATCCGTCGCTGCAGTACCATTTTGTTTACAGAAATCATTTGGTCCTCGTTGTTTGCCTCGTCGAGAAGCATGCGCTTGTCTTTTTGAAGGTTTTGGGTTCAAGCTGTTAATCCTGGAGTTTTGCTAACTGATGTTTCTTACCGTTATCGCATAGA